TGGGAGAAAGTAACAAGAAGGTGACAAGCAGTGGAACAGCTTGCCTCCAGAAGTTGTGAATGCTCCAACAATGGAAGTTTTTAAGAAGAGACTGGCTATCCATTTGCCTGAAATGTTATAGTGTTTCCTGCCTAGGCAGGGGGTTGGACTAGATGACCTCCAAGATCCCTTCCAACTCTGTTATTGTGTACTACCTATCCTTTCGTTACACTCCACAGGGGAGCCCAAAATTTCTGTTGCTAAGTGGGACATTTGTTCAGTGAGTTTTGCCCCGTTTTCGACCTCACTTGCCACAGTTGTGTCCTAACATTTCACTTTGACAAGTAATGGCCTGAATACCTAATTTTTGCTCAGGGGTGTCAACCAAGATTGGGGAGAGGGGATGCGAGGAGAAATAGTCTTTTGTAGATTTGTAAGGAAAAAAGATGTTTTCTACTTTCCAAGCTGGCAGGAAGGACAAATGTTTTTTCTTTGAAAGTCACTCAACAATTAAAAATAGTGTTCTACTCTTCTTCACACAAGTTTTTTTTGGCAAGGATGGACAATCACTTCTTCCTTTCATTCCAAACATTTATACAACCTCCCACCTTATAGCAAATTGGGGGGGATTTCCCAAACAATAATTGAAACAATTATCAAAATAAAAGCTGTTCAGGACGAGGAGTTTTAAAGACCAGAGTTTGGAATAGATCCCTCACACCTCATAACTAAGTTAACTTGGTTACCAAACGAACCAATTCTCTGATATCACACAATACAGGAAGTCCTCAACTTAAAACAGTTCACTTAGTGACCATTCGAAGTTACAATGGCACTGAAAAGTGACTTAATGACAGTTTTTCACCCTCACAGCTATTGCTCATGTGATCAAAATCCAGATCCTTGGCAAGAGACTCGTATTTATGACGGTTGCAGTGTCCTTGGGGGGTGGGGTCACATGATGACCTTTGGTGACCTTTTGACAAGCAAAGGGGTAGCCTGATTCACTTAACAGCCCTGTTACTAAACAGCGGCACTGGCTCATTCGACAACTGCGGCAAGAATGGTCGTAAAATGGGGCAAAACTCACTTAACAAATGTTTCACTTAACAACAAAAATTTGGGGCTCAATTGTGGTGATAGGTCGAGGACTACCTGTAGAGTCACTTAGCTACCAGAAGGAACTGGGTTTATGGGAATGATTAAGCCATCAAAAGCCTAACTAAGGTTAATGAGCCAAGCTTTAAGATAAAGGTAAAAGTTCCCCTCGCACACATGTGCTAGTCGTTCCCGACTCTAGGGGGCGGTGTTCATCTCCGTTTCAAAGCCAAAGAGCCAGCGCTGTCCGAAGACGTCTCCGTGGTCATGTGGCTGGCATGACTCAATATCAAAGGGGCACAGAATGTTGTTACCTTCCCACCAAAGGTGGTTCCTATTTTTCTACTTGCATTTTTACATGCTTTTGACCTGCTAGGTTCGCAGAAGCTGGAACAAGTCACGGGAGCTCACGCCATTATGCAGTGCTAGGGATTCGAACCACTGAACTGCCGACCTTTCTGATCGACAAGCT